TAACTTTTACAAGGGTTGGGAACAAGTGTGGTATGGTAGGCATGTCATGAGCAGAGCTGCCTGGAGCTGGAGGTCAGACTAGATGGCCCACAAGACCCCTTCTGATTCACTTTCTTTCTTTCTTAGTCAGGTTTTGGCTTTCTGTCTTTATGCAGGTATTTGCATATAAGTAATATCTGAAGAAATCCTCTAAATTCCCTCCCTCTAAGTGCAGATAGGGATGGCACAGCAGATTAAACTGTTCAGCCACTGGGATGTTGATCAGAAGGTTGGTAGTTCAAATCTGCAGGATGGGATGAACCCCAGCTGCTTTGTCCCAGTTCTTGCCTACCTAGCAATTTAAAAGCATGCAAATGCAAGTAGATGATTAGGTACCACTTCATTGAACAAGGTAACAGTGTTCCATGTGCCTCAGCATTTAATCACTCTGGCCACATGACCACAGAAGCATCTTCAGACAACACTGGCTCCTTGGCTTACAGAGATGAGCACTGGCCCAGGAGTCAGACATGACTAGCATGCATGTGTGCGGGGACCTTTACCTTTAATTGTGGATAAATCATCTCTTTGGATGTCTGAAGCCAGAGATTTCTGTGGTCTTCAAACAACAAAATAAGACTTGCATTATGGCTCTGTCATAAAGGTGCCATTTTAGTTCCTTTCTAATAGTTTTTTTTATTATTAGGGATTATCCAGATTATTCATTTAAGCTAGGTGCCTATAGCATTTTTGAATTTATGGGACAGTCCTACAATCCAACACTACACATAACCTACAGGGCTGGAGGCAAAAAGCACATAATCTTCAAATCCTAAAAAAGCAAATGGGGAGGAAAAGGTCCATGAAACAGGGGGAGCAGAGTAGGTCACTTTGCTGGAGTGTTGGCTGCTTTATGCAGCAGCATAACAAGGGAACAGTCAGTTTCTAAAATAAAGTGTCTGTGTGCATGCATGTGTGTGCATCTGTTTAAAAGTTCACAAAGTGGCATTGGACATGGAGATAATTCATCACCAATGAAGCCACAGGCATTAGGCAACAGTACCCATGTGGTACCCATGAGGCAACCACATTCTTAAGTGTATTTGCAATGCAAATAAATGTTCTTACCATTACAAACAGGGATGGGAGAAAAACACTTTTGGAAGAGAGAAACAGAGGTCAGAATCCCACATCAAACCTCAGAAATGAGCTCTGAGTTTACTCTTTTGTAGAGCAGAAGAGTGGAGGTGACCTTTGCCGCCTGTCTCCTCCTATCCTCAGTAGGATGCTGGCAATCCTCCAAGTCTGGGAGGTTGCAGGCAGCGACACTGGATCATGCTTGCTGTGTACACTGAATGCATATTGGAAATAAACAAATATTAATGCACTACTAATACAGCAATTTGTTTGACCAGCTGCAGATCTGTGTCATAAAGGCAGCCCCAGCTCTTTTTGTGGGGCTGCCTTTGAAGATGGTCCAGACTCTTCCATTAGTCCAAAACAGAGTAGCGCAGTTACTATAAGAACCAGCCCTAGAGAACATATCACATTGGTCCTCCACCAATTGCATTGGCTACCTGTCATTGCCCAGTCCCAATTCAAAGTGTTCATGCTAACATATAAAGCCTTAAATGGTTTGGGACTGGGATAGCTAAAGAAACACCAGTTTCCATATACCCCTACCAAACTACTCAGGTCAGCAATAGAAAACCTCCTTCACGCCCGCCCCCCCCAATGAGGTGAGGAGGAAATTCATGAGGAAAAGGGCCTTCTTGGTCATCACACCTTACCTTTGGAATTCCCTTACAAAGCAGGTACAACTGGCACCCACTTTATCTTGCTTTTGGTGCCAAGTTAATACTTTTTTATTATCTGTTTTTAGATTATGATTCATTCATCTTGCTGATGGTTTGTTATATTGTTTATTATACTATGTTTATCCTCCTGTTACATTCAAGTAGCATTTTTATTGTATTATGTTTTATGGTTTTAGTTATTATAGTCATCTATTTTGATCTGCATTATTGTTATGATTGTGCTGTGAGCTGCCCAGAGAGCTTTCTGGCTATGGGACAGCATACAAATGTAATAAGTAAAATAAAAATAAATAAAATTGCATCCATCAAGCACATTTCCTGCCCCACCAATACCTTGCCCCTAATCCATCTATGTTTATACTTTCTCTCTACCAGGATGTCAGACAACCATGTCAGCTGTTAAAAAAGCAGATAAGTCCTGTAAGACAAAATGTTTGCTGTTTTCCATTCTCCATTTTTATTTATTTATTATTTATTTATTTAAAACATTTTTATGCTGCCCCCATCACAACAAAGCCTCGGGGCGTCTCACAACAGAACAAAATACATAAATACATAGATAATAACAATATAACAATAAAAAAATTATTTAAAAACCCCAGTGCATCTCGGCTAAAAATTTAAAATCCTATAAATACAAATAATTTAACAATTAAAATAAGTTTTAAATGAAAAGGTCTTAGCCTGGCGCCGAAAAACAAATAACAACGGTGCCAGGCGGACCTCTCTGGGAAGCGCATTCCATAGATGGGGTGCCACCGCAGAGAAAGCCCTCCTCCGGGTACTTACCCTCCTAATATTCACAGAGGGTTCCCGGAGAAGGGCATCTGTTGCTGATCTCACGGGGCGGGAGGGCATATATGGACGCAAGCGTTCCTTTAGATATCCAGGTCCCAAGCCGTTGAGGGCTTTATAGGTCATAACCAACACCTTGAATTGGGCCCGGACTTCAATCGGGAGCCAGTGGAGCTGACGGAGAACTGGGGTTATATGAGAACAACGCCCAGTCCCTGTCAGCAACCTGGCAGCTCTATTCTGCACCAATTAAAGTATCCGGACTGTCTTCAAGGGTAGCCCCATGTAGAGCATGTTACAGAAATCTAATTGGGAAGTCACCAATGCATGTGTCACTGTTGCCAGGCAGTTGTTCTCCAGGAAGGGACGCAGCTGATGCATCAGCTGAAGCTGAAGGAAGGTGCTCCTCGCCACCACTGTCACCTGAGCTTCCAGAGACAGCTCAGGGTCGAGCAGCACTCCTAAGCTGTGAACCCTGTCCCTCAAAGGGAGTGCAACCCCATTTAGGACAAGGCCCAAGTCCCCCATCCCGAGGCCCAAGCCACCCACCAAGAGGACCTCTGTCTTGTCTGGATTGAGCTTCAGTTTATTGGCCCTCATCCAGCCCATTACCTCAGCCAGGCACCAGTTCAGCACAGCCACTGCCTCACCTGGATTGGTGGAAAACGAGAGGTAGAGCTGGATATTTTTCATACTCTTCACCCAGGAAACATCACTCACCCCACACAAGCAATGAACAGTTCAGTCTAGGGAGCAGCCTGACATACTAACCCATCCAAGCATTTTATAATGCACAAAATTTTAAATTACCTTTTATCCAACCAAAGAAGGCAATTCTGCCTGCTTCTAGCAAACTGCATTGCTATTAAAACAATGCTATTAAAACTACAGAGCTTTTGGGAGTGCAATCTATCAAGCACAGCTGATAACAATCTTGTATTGCAAGTGTAGGCAACTTTCTTAAACCTGTAAAGTGCCCTGCTGATCGTCATGGTTTCTTAATTCCTTATTCCAGGCCCCACATGGGCCCACATTCTTAGGAAGGAAAGACAGCAGGAAGCTGGATGTCACTGCTTTTAAGTGTTCCTGATTCCCTACTCCCACAAGAAAGGACAGTTGTCATTACTGCTGTTATGTAAGTGGAAAGCTTTGGAGGTTGCAACTGGGGTGGGCTGGGAATAGGCCAGAACAGGGGTACCCAGTAGAGTTGGGGAGGAGCAGGGCTGGTCCTGAGGTGACTCAATGGGTCTGAAGGAAAAGTAGGTAGACCTGGGCTATGAGGACTGCAGAGAGCAACAGGAAAAGTTTAGTCTGGAGGATGCCCCACCTGGAGGTGGCAGTGAACTTGGGAGGTGAGAAAGAGAGAAACCCCTAGTTCACATGATTAAACTAGTCCACTGTGGTTTAAAGAGGTCACCGTGGGCTGGGGTGTGTGCTTGGCAGGATTAGAATATTCACCTAGCTGCAGCTTGTTGTCTTGTGCCCACCTGGGTGATAGGGCTGTGTGAGAGTTAAACAATCATCACATAAGCCTAGAACAAGCCATGGGCCTACCTTAATGGACATTGCATGAGAGTAAGCTTCATTTACACAGGAACTTAATTCTGTGGAATAATCGGGCTTTTTACTGCCTGCTTGTTTCCTGTGAGCTCCACTCAACTGTTCCAACTTAACAGATTCACCTTTATTTTCTGGCTATTTTACTGCCTTCTCCCATTACGGACAAGTCTGGGCTCCTACTTGGCTATTCAGTTTTGCCATCCCTTCTCAAGATGCTGTGTCTGCACATGCATATGAGATATTTGAAAGTGTAGAGAGTTTTACTGAACACAATGTAACTTTTTTCTAGGTATATATGCATATGATCATACTGGAATTTACAAACATTGAGCACAGTGGTATTTACTTCTGAGTATACAATAACCCAAAAGAAGTTGTAACAAATGTAATGAGGCTTACTGCCAGGTACCTTGGTATAGGATTCCATTTAAAGACTTCAGAGCAACACTGGCAGAAGTGTTATTTGTATTTAAATTGAATATAATAATTGTTTTTCCATTTGGTGTAGATACAGATTTTAACATACCTCTTGGCCAAAATACAGCTTTTGATCGAGGGGATCTGGTAATGTTGGGTTTGCTAGAATCAAAACTCTAGAGCGCGCAATAGCCTTTGCTTGTTCTTAATTTTGTCTCTCTTCCCACGCAGAGAACGAGACGTGTACTTGAACCAGTGGCTCTCTGCTGCCTTCGCAGCCCCGGGTAAAACAAACTGCACACAGGCAGAGTCCGCCTTCAGCGGAGCACAGGTGGGGCGAGGTGGGGCGAGCCGGCTCCTCCCCTCCCCCGCTTTGCCCGGCTCCAGGTGTCGTTGGCGGCTCCAACTCGACAGTTGAGGGAGGGAGGGAGCATGGCGGAGTCTCAGCTGCTTTGCCTGGACGACACTCATGTGAACGAGAAGCTTAGCGAGCACCACCCGCGGTACTACTACAGTGAGGAGTGGCGGCGGGCCCTGGAGCTGCTGGTGGGCAAGGGGGAAAAGGCGTACAAGGACTGGCTGAAGAAGGAGCAAGTGCGCGACTTCCTCTCCAGCCAGGAGCTGCAGGCCTTACGGGATGCCTGGCGCGCTTACGATGCCCACCTCGACGACGGCGGCGGCGGCAAAGCTCTCACCGACTCCTCGGGGAAGCCCCTCTCCCTGGCCTACTGGCCCGACCACTCCGACACCGAGATCCCTCCGCTGGACATGGGCTGGACTCACAACACGTTCTACCGGGGGGCCACTCGCCTGGCCCTGTTCACGCACCCGCGCAAGGAAGACAACGCGCCTCACGTCAAGCAAGTGGCGCGCGAAATGATACAGCAGGCGCAGAAGGTGGGTGACTCGTCTTCGTGCCCTCCGGAGGCCGAGGGGAGGCGCGCCTCTTTCGGGGCCTCTAGGTTGCCTCTCGGGGGATAGAGAGGACCGGTTGCGTTGCCGTGTCAGCGCTGAGATTTAAGGGAGGACTTCCTTCTCTTCTCGAGGCCACAGGGCTCTGTAGTACTCTTGCTTAATTCAGCACTCTTCTTTCATCCAACTCACCGGGCCGAGGCTGTCGCCTACTGAAGCTCCTATTACGATAAACCAGCATTTCTCTCATTTTGCAGCCCCTGAAAGCCAACGGCAGCTATTCTCTGAGAATTTAGCATATCTTAAAGTGTTGTCTCTATTTGTGGTGGCGAGGGACAGCATATGCTTTTAGTTTGAAGAAACAAACCCAGCTCCACAAAACAAGCCCTAACATGTTGTTTTTTAGTGACTTGTATTTGGACTTATTCACCTGAAAATCCTTTCATTATACGGTATTGGTTTAGGTAACTGAAGATCTATTCTTCTTCTAAATGAATATCTTCGTAAAAAGACCAGTTGTAACAACAATAATAATGCACAATCGCTTGTGCTTCTGTATTCAAGCCCCACTGAAAGAAAAGTTGCCTAAAAATTAGGCTATGGATCACATCCAACATGCTTAGTTCATTTAGTGTGTAATGTCATGCATGTTTAGACAGAAAAAGGCCTACTTTTTCTGTTTAAACATGCATGGCAGTTGTGCTTTTAATTATACTTTTATTCCTTCCTCTGTAAGAACTCATGCATGGCCCTTCCCCTATCTTCTTAACCTCATAACAACCCTGTGAGATGGTTTAGGGTGACAAATGTTGAAAGGTCCAAAATCATCTAGCATGCGTGACTGAGTGGAGATTTTAATCTTGGTCACTGGAGTCCTGATCCAACACTTCTAGCCATTAAACCATGCTGAATTTCTACTTTAGGATTGTAAAATCCATGCTCAGGCAATCTTTTTATAAGGAGAAGAAGCTAAAACTGCTCAAAATAAAAATAATATAAAAAGTGAGCTTCTGAGTTCTCCAAAAATTCTTATCAAGAAGATGTTAAACAGGAGGCGGGGGAGATAGAAGCAACAAAGGGTATGTTTAGTTACACTGTTAAAATAGGATACCAGAGACCATTGAAAGCCTAAGATGCAGTCCTATGCAAATTCAGACAGAAAAAAGACCTACAATTCCCAGATGTTGGAAGTTCCTGGACTTACTGAACTTATTTGTTTTTAAACATGTTAAGGATTGTGTTCTTAATTAGACAGTAGTGGGTGCCATTTTGGATTATGCCAAAGCCTGTTAGGACAATTAAGTATAATAGTTCATTTTTCATTTTATGAGAGCAAGATTCAGGAGTTATCCCAGACCTTGAGCCACTGTCTTATGTGTGTTAGGACTGTGCACTCAAGGACTTTGACCTGAGCCAGTTGTTAGTGTTCTATGAGACCACAATGTTAAATATACATACAGTGCAATCATATACTTGTCTACTTAAAGTAAATCTTGTTGAGTTCCGGAGGAATTATTCCCAGGTAAGTGCGTATAGGAATGCAGTCGTAAATTCATTGAGTTCAGTGGCACTTATTTTAGTTAACCAAGTTGAAGCTGTCAGTGATTAACAGTCATGAATGCTATATCAGTATTTTTTTATTAAATGAAGAGGAAGTAAAAGGTATCATTATGTTCTGTAGAAACATTAGCTGTGAGACATGCTGTGTTTTGAGGGGCTGGGAATTGTCTTTTCAACAGGACAATCCCTGTCCCAGACATCTGGCAATCATTGGAACTCCCTGCAGCCTTTAGGGCTTCTTTGTCAAACAGTTGTCATGTGCAATTGGCTTTTATAGAATGGTTTATATTAAGTCTTCAGATCTGCTTAAAACAATGTTATAACAGGCACTTTAAAAATAATTCCCACAAATACAGATTTAATCTTCATGGCCCTTAAAACCCCTAAATACTGCACTGACTGGCATGGAATTTAAAATACAGAGATTGTAGGAACCAGTCCTATAAATTCATACAGTCCACAAACTACATAACATGTACTACAGTTTTAAATTGTGCACCCTCAGTTTCACAGGATAACGAACATGGATGTCTTCAAAACAATCCTATGAGCTACACTAGACTAAGAGAATAAAGGCACGATCCTGTGCATGTTTAGGCACAAAAAAGTAAAAAGTCCTATAGCTCCCAGCATTCCTGCTTGCTGAGGAAAACTGGGAAATGTAGGACATTTTTTGTCTAAACCTCCATAGAATTGTGTCCTTAAACTATAATTCTTTGCATACTTTCCTGAGAATAAACTCTGCTGAATTCAATGAGATTAACATCCAAATAAACATATAATGGGGCTGCCCTGTTACTAACTGGGTCAGAATCAGCCTGGGAGTTTCACAGTTCAACAGGGATTTACATTCAGTTCATCTTGGTCCTAGGTAAATATTCTGTTTGTCAGGGCTATATTGTTGAGAAATTATCTTAACAATGAGTAAAATGGAATAAATGTTTTGAAGACTACAGTCTTAGGACTGACTATTATATGTACTGCTTACATGACATATGTAAAACAAATGGGTTATCCTCAAACCGACCCTTAGTTGTTATAAGGATAGTTAATAAGTGTTATTAGCCGTGCTTAGTGAGGGTTCTATTGTAATTACATGATTGCTAGTCTGAAGGCTGGTGTGTTACTTAATCTAGATTAAGTTAAAAGTATGAGCTTTATGTATTCAGGAATTACTATCTTGTGCATTTGTATATGCAACTAATTTTACCAATCTCAATCAGATTTCAGTATATATAAGTGCAGTTCTACATAGGTTGGTATTTCAGCTACAGTGCATTCATGGTCATGCTCCCAGTGTATCTAGAAATAGAGGCTTGGCCTTTGTAGCATGCGTGAAGAACCTGCACATTATATTGTCAGACTTGAAATTAATAGCTTAGATTCAAGAAACAGAACAGCATTGGAGAATTCCAAGAGACTTTTAAAATGTAATTGAATCAGCAAGATGTATGTTTGATAAAGATAGCAAAGTTTCACTTCTTAAAGGAGTTTCATGTGATATTGCAACTGAGAAGACCCTCTCTTGTAGCCACCTACTTAACTTCGTTTGGTGCGGAAATTTGGAGCAATCAAAGTGACCTAAGGATCCAGGCAGGTATATAACATAAGGAAAAAGATGTTCCTTTAGATCAGCAATAGGCAACATGATGCCTATGGGCACTTTGTTAGTGCTTGCCAAAGTGTCGTCCTCCTCCTCCCACTTAAAAAAAATTAACACACTTTCTTACCAGCAGCTGTGATCAGTGTGAAACAATTTCTGTTGGTGCTGAATTTGGGGTGTGTGAGGACTCTGCTTTTGGGCTGGGAATCCATCAGATTCCCTTGACTCAACTCCCAGACTTCAGCTTACTTTCTCACTGCTCTGAGTTCAACTTGGTGCTGAACCTTTGTGTGGATACCTGCCAAATATGAGCCTACACAAATACTGTGCAAGTGGGGTCCCTCTTATGTGTATATACTGCATATGTACTTCAGTACTATGGAGGAAGATTGCCAGGTCGTGCAAGAGGAGTTTTCTTAGTGTTTGCAGACTTCCTCTGAGCTTGGCTAACTTTCTAAGCCAAGGCCAAACATGAGAAAGAAGTCTGATGAATAGAAGCGAGCTGGATTTTGCAGAATTATTGCAACCCTATGATAAATACTAACAGTTCAAAGGAGTTCTTTGGTGTGTTTGGATCCACCTCTGCCATGTTTCTTGTCCTTTGACACATCTGCTTTGGTATTCACTTTGCGGTGGTGCTGAGAGTTTCTCCAGTTACTAAATGTGTTCATGGCTTTGAAAAGTTGTATATCCATGCTTTTGCTAGATACACTTGCCATCTCTCTGCTACCTGTTCAGTTTGCTCCTTCCTTACACCCAGTTTTCTTGCTTTATTCTCACTAAATAAAGATGTCTTTGGAGTCCTTTCATTTTAAGAAATGTTCTTTCAATCCCTAATTGTTCAGACAAGTGAGATGTTTCAGCTCTTGCTGCTCCATGATGGACCTGCACAGTTAGCAGGGACCAATGTAAACAGACATAGCCATATGACTGCTTTTTCATGGTCACTGTTGGACAGGGAACTGGAAGTGCCTGCCTTTCTTTAAGGCACTGCATGCTTCCAGTTTTGCTCTCCAACCTTTATTATTGAGTGAGTGGGCTAGAGAGTGCCTCTCTGAATGGAAATTGACTGATCCAAAATGTAGTTAATTTAAAAGTAAAAGATAGCATGCCTCAGAGATGTCATAAAGCCAGTATATTGTGAAATAAAGTTTATGGAAGGAGTTCCTTCCCATTAACTCTATACTGATTAAATTTCATGTCTCTGAATTAGTGTTCATTGAAGCCTCTATGTCCTGCTACTTTATCACTAGTGAAAACAGACTTTTCTCCATCAAAATGGCTTTGGGAAGAATTTTTAAATGCTGGATAGGGTAGTGTATTGATAGCAAGATTAGGAATGTAGGAAGCTGCTTTATACTGCCTAGATTTGTATGATCATGGAGGAAAAGAAGCCACAGTGGTTTATTTTCCTTCCCCATACTGGCCACATGTAAGCTACCTACTTAGCACAATTGCCCTTGCTGGGTGCAGGTTGTCATGACATCAGAACCCAGCAAGGGTATGTAGCTGGCACAGATTATAAACCACTCTGAAACCCATGACCTGTTTTAGGGTGCTCATATGAACACATTCACTTTACTTAGACCCTTGGTCCATTTAGCTCAGTTTTATCAAAATGGGCAGAAACAAAAATGGTTGCAGTCAGAAGTCTTTTTCCAACCTTTCCTGGAGATGCCTGGAGTTGAACCTGATGATTTTTTCCCTGTTAAGTACTGATTTGTGCTATAATGTTGAGTGTAACATATCTGGGGGGGGGGGGGGACTTTATCACCTAGTTCTTCCATCTTCCATGTTACCTCTTTTTGCTTTTCGTCCTTGCCATGCCATGCTTCAGGCTTATGCAATTGTTTTCATGAGTGCAGTGGTGATGAGAACTAGTTTATCATTGTGTGTGTGCGTATAAGGAGTTTTAGGGCCTTTTTTGATGAGAGATACATAAGGTTGCACCTTAAATCACTGAAACAGACAACTTTAACACTGAAAAATGAGATTGTATGTTTCAGCAACTGAGATTACTGGATTATAATGGGTTATTTTTAATAATTCCCCTTTTCTGCTGACTCAGTTAAACAGGATAATCTCCACCCAGCAGTGCCTGAAGGTGGTTGAATTTTAAGAGAGTTGCCATCAGATATCATAATACTGTGTAGTATTTTATCCTCAGGATTTTCTTTATTCCTACATGAGTTTTGAGATGTTTGGTGACTTTACCTGTGTTCTTAAGAATGCAAACATTACACCACAGGTTTGTGCAAATGAATTATCTTGATTTTTAAAAACATTTGTGGTCATATTCAAGTTATTTATCTAGATTAGTTCGGGGAACTGAAGCAGGAGTGATCTGTATCTTAAAATGGTAATTCATGGCCATATAATTTTCAAATACTTGATGTCGGATCCTAGACAGTTCTGACAGTGTTTGTGCTTTAATAAATTAATATGTGAAATCATCTTTTAATCTTCAGATCCACAGTAAAGCAAAGCTCTGCTTTTACCCCTATCCTGACCTTAAGCTTTTAAGGAACTGTAACAGAGAGCTCGGATGATCTTTGAAAATGTGATTTAGAAGACTGGAAACATGCTGTGAGTTCAAGCATGCCTTCTTCCCTGCTCCCCTGCTTCCACCTACAGACAGAGAGTACCTGTTTTGGAAAGGCAGCCTTAACAAATATTTCCCCTCTCAATTTTGTTTTGAAGACTGCCTCTCTCCGTGTATGTTTACACTGGTACCCTCCTTCATATTTACTGCTTCAAAAATGTCATTTCTCTGATGCCATAAACCTCTTATTAGAAGAACTGAGAGCCAAACTATATTACACTGAATGAATTGTGAGCCGCCCCGAGGCTTCGGCGAATGGGGCGGCATAAAAATGTTTTAATAAATAAATAAATAAATAAATAAATAAAATAACATCCAGTTACATTATCAGCTTTTCTTTAACTACATATGCAGAAGACGGATGATTGTTGTTGGGGCTGCTGTGCATGCACCTGGGTGGCTTGTTCTTTTCCTCCTCAACCACAATTAGAATGAAAATCATACACTCCTATGAAGATAAAAATGTCTTTAAAAACCAGTAAGCATGGGGAGAAAGAACACACCATCCCAGTCACAAGTGAGGAGAGATAAACATCTCCTTTCTACATGTTGAATTTCTAATAACAATGCACCACATGCCAATGGTTAAAGCAAGGACAAAATATAGCAGCATGCTTTGCATTCAGAAGACTGTGTAGTTTTTTAGAATGTATAGTTACATTGTAGAATATATGAATATCTATACATTTTAGAATGTATAAAATGTATGAAAGAATGTATTGTTTTTAAGACAACTTTTACAAAAAAATGTACTATTCCCCTTGGTCTCATTTAAGGATGCTGATAAATGAGATTCAGAGAGGCTAAGGGTGCAATGCTGTGCATGTCTTTCTTTGACAGAAAGTCATACAAATCACAACATTTTTCTAGCAGTATTTGGACTCTGCAGTGCTCTGTGGGTTTCCCAGTAGAGTATTATGAGCTTTCCCAGTAAGTGTTATGTGTACAGTAGCACGGATTTATATCTACCTCAAACGGGACCTCCATGTCTTACTTGCTCTTGTTGGCCCTCAGTTCTGCTTGTATGGACTTGCTTCCATTAAGAGAGTATTTAGTTAATTCTAATCTTTATGAAACAAAACCTATGGTATTGGAAAATTCAAAAGACATTCTTTTTAAAAATGCATCTAATCCAGGAGAGGAATAATTGCTCTTCCCAAAGCATTGTCTGCCCTGTCTGCCCAAAACGTTGTCTATATATGAATTAACTCTGTATCTTTGTTACAATTACAAGCATATACACTAGTTTCCTAATATTCAGTGGGTCAGTATGACAAAAGAAAAACAGACTCATTCAAAGAATTATTCCTTGTATAATTCAAAATAGTGTGTTTATCTGAAAATAAGCAAGCTTAAGGCTGTATTAACATGTATACTTGACTTGAGAGTAAGTCTCATTACATTCAGTGAGACTTATCAATGAAATAATTTGGATTTGATCATAAGATTTCTACTAGTTTTATAAATAAGTCTCTGGAGATAGGGAGAGAGTAATTTGGGACCTGATGTTTATAAACACTGCATTTTAAGCTATAAGACAATTAACTGTAAATAATTGGATGACAATAAACAGGTGGAAAAAGAAAATATGGAATATAGCAATTAATGAAAAATTGACACAGAATTTAACAGTGCATAGAAGAATAATGAAAAAAGCTGCTTTAAGAAGGACTGGCAAAAATATATGGATTATATGAAGAAGGAATTTAATAGAGCAGCCTTCCCCAACCTAATGGCCTTCAGAGGCATTTGGACCACAACTGCAAGAATTCCTATACAGCAAGGCCATTGACTGGAAATTCTCAGTACTGCAGTCCAAATGTGTCTGGAAGCACAAGGTTGGGAAAGGCTATAATAGAGTAATTTTAGAAGAAGCTTATAGAAAACTCTGGTAGTCATGAAAAGAGGAATATTGAAAAGGAATTAAATAGAAAAGTTAACATGGATCTAATGGAAGGAATTTTGTATTAATATGGATGTGTCTTATTTTTGATGATGAACATTGTAATAAATGTATATTGTAAATTTTAAAAAATTGGCAGAGGGCAGTACTTTGAAATTGTCTTCCACTGTAATAAGAAACCAGTAATAACTGTTTTTGACTCCACTTTAGGAGTCTGCCTCATTCCAGTTTAGATTGTTGGCCTAACTAGTTCATTATTTTTCTTGTTCATCCCTCCTGTCCCATGCTGTCCCTCCTGTATTATAGTCCACATCTGGAGGGTACTAGGTTGTCGAAGTCTAGTTTTCAGTAACTGACAGTGGTTTTCAGGCAAGAGGACTTTTGCATCACTGGCTACAACCCTATCCTTTTAACTGGAGATGCCAGGAATTAAAACTGGCAGCTTCTGCATACAAAGTATATGCTCTGTGGTGAAGTTATTGATACCTTTTGGCAATATTGCAGCTGATTATTATCATCAGCTGCTAATATTATAACTCATAACATTCTGTTTTCTTGTTTGAGAAAACAGAGTGAATGCATAACTTTTAAACAAGGTATGTTGACTAAAATCTGCATAGGGAATTATAATTGCTGCTAGATGGATGAATACCAAATTGGGTTGTTGCTGAATGGAAGAAGGGGGTATCTTCCAGAAAATGCAGGCTAAATCATTATGTGAAACCAGGAGGCCACACAGTGAAAAGAAAACACAAAATTATTATGATGTTCTTTAGACACCTAATTAACAGATAACACTCCATAAAAGTCCTAAGGGGCTACTGAACAAGAACTAACAAGCTGTCTGGTTTGTGTAGGCAGTAAGAACCAAACCCTGAAATAGTAGGTTTTAAAATATGTTAAAGCATGTTTCAGATAATGCAGAAAAGCATGAGTATATCTGATTTGCCCTAATAACATGAAGGCATATATCCAAGTTTTTACATAGATTGCTTTTTAAAATAAATACGTGTGTTTGTTTTTTTTATCCATTGTTAGATCATTGCAATAGTTATGGACGAGTTCACTGAAAGGGACATCTTCCAGGATACTGTAGATGCAGCATACAAGCGTCGGATCCCAGTCTATATAATCTTGGATGAAGAAGGCTCTAAATTCTTCCTGGAGATGTGCAAATGTATGGAGCTCAGTGAATTCCATATCCGGGTAAGAGTGTGTGCACTTTGTCATAACTGACAGGTGTTGGAGCACATATTTGCTGTAAATGTGATTTGGACTGAAGAGCTGTAGTCTTGATAGAAGACTTGATTCTTCCTTGAGGTCATATAATCACTTGTGCCTAATATGGTTTATTAGTTCAGATAAATGCAAGACCCTTCAATGCTTTTAGAACCAGAGCTCACCTTTAACCCTGATCTAAGGTGCAGTGTTACTGCCTGTGGGCAACAACTAGGCCAAATGTCCTGGTGAGCATCCTATACAAAACAAGTGCATGCCCTAAAAAGCACTTTAGGCAATTCTTGTAAGGAAATGTAGGAACTATGCACAGATACTGTAGTAGTATATCTCTTGACTTGAAAGTTTCAAGATCTACTAATCTAGATTATTAACTAATTACTGTGTATAAAAACATGTATTGTGTAATGTGGAGTGAGTTAAGTTTCAAATAGTCAGGGGATCATGGTGTAACTGTATGCACTGGGAGTCCCCAACATTTTGGACACTACATAGTTTGAGTAACTTTTAATACCTATTCAGTGGGTTGATACTTTGGCATCTCCCTGTTGCATCTATGGATTTTATTTATGTATTTATTTATATAACATATTTTGCATTAATTAGTGCAAAGGATTTAAGCAGAGAGGTATGCAAACTGGTGGGAGGGGGGAATTTTAGGTAGTATCTTCAGTAAATTTTTTTTTCATGTCTGTTGGACACTGCAACATCTCTTGACTATGGACTGTAATCAGCTAGTTACTGAGAGTGCAATAGAGATAATGCTTCTTTTAAACATATGTTTTAGTAATGTCCTGTAGTTGCTTCTGGGAGGAAGTTATTAAACAGATAAATCTTGTTTTGGAACAGTCTTTAATATTCACTAATACATACAGTCTTTTAAATTATTTACCTGCTTCCTGGAAATTAAGAAATGGAAGGGAAAATTGGGTTGCTGTGATATGAACACTAACAGTCTGACATTACAAAATTAGAAGGATAAGTACTGACTTCCTATAATACAGTGGATTGAGCAAGCCTTGCAGTGTATCCAATAAATGAAAGAACAGCATATAGATACCAATATCAAATGGATGCTTATTGGTATATATATGGTCTGCTTTTGTTGAACCCTATGTATAATTACTACATGGTTGTATGAATTTCATATAACTCTGGGTATGCAAATTGAGGGGAGGGAAGAATTACAGGTGCTCATGGGCACCATGTTAGGGACTCTTTTGCAAATGCCATTATAGGTGCTTACAGTAGGGACCTGTGCTATAAACAATCATTGTCTATATGCTTTAAAACTGTGGTGCTGCATACTGGAATTTAATTGGACATTTTGTGATCTTAAACTCCTTTCCTCAACTATCAATCTTTTTACTAAAAATTTATTTTTACTGATTTCAGTAGAGCTTACTTCCAAGTAATTGTTCTTAAGATTGCAGCCCTTGTCTGTTCTGGCAATTTTTTGTGGATACAAGCAATGAAGTTACTTTGTTCTTCTACTGCTTTCTGTTTAAGTATTTTCTGCAGATGTTTGCATGTTCCCACGCATTAGGTGAAAGGTACCTCTTGCTACATCTTACTCTAAAGAAGACTTTCTGAACCTGATATGCTCCACATGTTTTGGACTACAACTCCTAGTATTCCTGACTACTGGCCGTACTGGCTAGGACTAATGAATATTGAAGACCAAAACCTCTGGAGGGCACCATGTTGGGGAAGGCTATTTTAGAAGGAAACCTTTGCTTGCTCTCATTTATTTATTTAAAGTTTTTATATGCCGTCCCCATTGCTACATAGCCTCAAGATGGCTCACATCAACAAATAAATAAAACAATACAATTACAATTACAATTAAAACTTGGAAACACACTGGCTGCACAATTAAAACTATAAATATTAAAAATTATTAAAATATTGTTTGAATAAAAAGGTCTTGGCCTGGCACCGAAAAACAAATATTGACAGCGCCAGGCGGACCTCTCTGGGGAGTGCATTCCACAGATAGGGTGCCACCACAGAGAAAGCCCTCCTCCGGGTATTTTGCCTCCTAATATCTCTTATGGAAGGCTCCCAGAGGAGAGCCCCTCCTGCCTATCTCAAGGGCGGGAGGGCAAATATGGCCGCAGGTGTTCCTTCAGGTATCCGGGTCCCAAGCCATTAAGGGCTTTATAAGTAATTACCAACACCTTGAATTGAGCCTGGACTTTGGTGGGAAGCCAGTGAAACTGGTAGACGACTGGGGTTATATGAGAATAACGCCCAGTCCTCGTCCGCAACCTGGCTGCTCTATTTTGCACCATCTGAAGTATCCGGACAGTCTTCAAGGGCAGCCCCACATAGAGCCCGTTACAGAAATCCAACCGGGAAGTAACCAAAGCATGTGTCATTGTCGCTAGGCAGTCATCCTCCAGGTAGGGTCACAGCTGATGGATCAGCCAAAGCTGATGGAAAGCGCTCCTCGCCACCGCCGACTCTTGAGCTTCCAAAGTCAGCTCCGGGTCGAGGAGCACTCCCCAGCTGCAGACCCTGTACTTTAGAGGGAGTGCAACCCCATTCAGGACAAGATCCAAGTCACCTACCCAGGAGTTCGAACAACCTACCAGCAGGACCTCCGTCTTGTCTGGATTGAGCTTCAGTTTATTGGCCCTCATCCAGCCCATTACCTCGGCCAGGCACCAGTTCAGCACAGCCACTGCCTCACCTGGATTGGTGGAAAATGAGAGGTAGAGCTGGGTATCATCAGCGTACTGATGATTCCGCAGCCCACACCTCCAGATGACCTCTCCCAGCGGTTTCATGTAGATGTTGAAGAGCAAGGGGGACAGAATAGATCCTGCGGAACTCCATGGCATAACTGCCATGGTGCAGAGGTAAAGTCCCCCAGCACCACCTTCTGGAATCGGCCGTTGAGGTAGGAGCGGAACCACTGCCAAGCAGTGCCTCCTACTCCCAACCCCCTTAGCCTATCCAGAAGGATACCATGGTTGATGGTATCGAAAGCCACTGAGAGGTCCAGGAGAACCAACAGGGACGTACTCCCCCTGTCTCTCTCCCTGCACAGGTCATCATACAGGGCGACCAAGGCAGATTCAGTACCATACCCAGGTCTGAAGCCGGACTGAAATGGGTCCAGATAACCAGTCTCATCCAAAAGAGCTTGGAGTTGTCCCGCCACCACCTACTCCAGCACCTTGCCCAAAAACGGGATGTTGGTCACCGGTCTATAATTGGCGACCATCTCTGGATCCAGGGGCGCCTTCTTTAGGACCGGCCTGACCACCGCCTCCTTTAGAGGGGCAGGCACCCGCCCGTCCTTCAAAGAGGCATTGATGACCTCCCGGATCGAGGAACCAATCCTGTGTTTGACTTTGGATAGTAGCCACGATGGGCAGGGGTCCAGTACACAGGTGGTGGTACGTACTAGTCCAAGCACCTTGTCCACGTCATCAGGCCGCAATAACTGAAACTCATCCAACAATGTGTGACCAGACGGTAACAGTGACACCTCCCTTAAGGAGTCTGAGTCATTAGTGGAGTCCAGTTCGTGACAAATCTGAGCGACGTTCTCCTTGACGTGCTGGGCAAAGTCATCACAGCGGGTTATCGAGGGTGGTACAGGATCTTTCTTGGGGCCTGGCTGTACCAACCCCTGTACCATCCAAAAAAATTCTGCTGGACGGCACTGTGAGGAGGCAATGGAAGTGGAGAAGAATTTCTTCTTCGCTGCCCTAACTGCCACAGCATAGGCCCGATAATGGGCTCTTAAGTGTGTTCGGTCAGTTTCATCCCGAGATTTTCTCCAGCTACGCTCTAGTCATCTCCCAACCCGCTTCATTGCCTGTAATTCAGGTGTGTACCAAGGGGATGAATGGGCTCTGCCCGGCGGGAGAGGATGCTTAGCAGCGATCGTGTCAATAGCTCTGGTCATTTCCCTATTCCACAGTTCAACCAGAGTATCAACAGGAGCGCCAGCTTTATCATCCGGAAACTCCCCCAGAGCTTTCAGGAATCCATCCGGATCCATTCAGCTCTGAGGGCGGACCCACACAATAGGGTCCGCACCCTTACAGAGGGAAAGGCCGTCATCGAACTCAAACCTCACAAGGAAGTGGTCTGACCATGACAGGGGAGTCAGACACAAATTCCTCACCTTCAGATCACCCTGTTCCTGTCCCGTTGAGAAAACCAGGTCCAGCATGTATCCACGTTCATGTGTCGGGCCAATGACATGTTGAGACAGCCCCATGGCCGTCATGGAGGCCATGAAGTCCTGAGCCGCCCCAGTCAGACCAGTCTCGGAATGGAGAATGAAGTTCCCCAGGACCAGCATCCTGGGAGTCTTCAACACCAGGTCCAAGACGATCTCCGTCAGCTCAGGCAGGGAGTCTGTTGGGCAGAAGGATGCACGGTACACCAACAGAATCTCCAATCTGTCTCGGTCGCCCAATGCCAAGTAGAGGCACTCTAGACCTGGTCTCGAGAGGACAGGAAGCCCCGCAAGGGAAAGAGAGGCTCAAGGAACTAAAGCGACCCCCCTCCCCTCCCCCCTGGGTGTGGCCGATGCTGAACCAGAAACCCAGGCAGGCACAATTGAGAGAGGGATACATCCCTCCCCTCTCCCGCCCAGGTCTCTGTGATGCAAGCCAGGTTGGCCCCCTCATCCACAATTAAGTCATGGATGAGGGATGTTTTATTATGGACCGACCTGGCATTAAGTAACAGCACCGTCAGGCCTGAGGGGCGGCTGATAAGCATACCCGGAACCTTCCAGCTGGGGGAATAACCAGAAGGGGGGGACAGGTGTCAATCATCTGTCCCTCCTATGTGGACCTGTTAAACCCCCAATGCCATAACACCCATTGCCCATAACCACCCCAATGGCAGTGCCCACGCACTCTCCAGGCAACCCCATAGAAGCAACCAAGTGTGAATCCATTACAAACAGATAAAATAAAACCAAATAAAAACAAAAACAATAAAACCTTGCCATCCCCCGACAGCAGATTAAGGAAGCCGACCCACAGAGTCCCTGGCCAGCCCAGCCCCCGCACGGCCCCAAACGGGCCCAAACGGCGTCACCGCCCTTGGGCAGTGACCTGTGTAGGACCAATTTGATAGGTCCAGACCGCCCAATTTATATGCTGCCCCACTAGCCATAGGCTCTCTGGGAGGCTTACCAGATGTTAAAATCCAACAACATAAAACAATACAAGCACAATATGGCATTCACTACAAAGACCAATAATACTAACAACAAGCTCTGTGAATAAATTAACAAAGTTAGAAAAAAAACAAAATAGGAAAACATAGAATTAATAAATACTAAATTACACACACACGAATAAAACATAAACCATTACAATTAATAAATATCTCTCCTTTAAAATCATGTCCAATTGGCAGCATAAAAATAACATTATTAATACATAAACATTCACCTGGTAAAATAACTGTTAAACAAGTGTTTCGTTGGCCCCTAAAAGCCAAAAGAGTCAGTACAAACTGGACCTTGAGCAGGATTGAATTCCAAAATTGGGGTGCTATGCAGGAGAAAAGCCCTCCAACTTGCAAACTCCCACCTAACTTCATTAGTGGGAGGAACGTGGAGGAGTGCTTCAGATGAGGACTGCAATGAATGGGCTGGTATGTATGGAGAAAGGTGCTCCCTCAAATAACCTGTCCCCAAAGCATTTAGGGATCATGAGCACTTTGAATTGGGCCCGGACAGCAACCAGCAGCCAGTGTAACCTGTGTAGGACCAATGTGATAGGTCCAGACTGTTTTCAGAGGCAGCCCCATATAGAGCTGAATTTCTTTCACCTATATACATTTTCAGCAATGTAATAACATTGAGCCTTAGACCCCTAGCTGTTAAACTACAATATCAGCCACCTGTCTTACAGAGCACTTGCACATTTTAATGAGATTTTAACTGTGAAGCAATTTTTATATCCAACATGGAACTGAAATTATCATCATTAGTAATAATTATAGAAACTTTTGTTATGATATGGAAAGGCTTTTGTTAAATTAGTGTTCCTAATAATAAGATCTCTCACCTGATCAGACAACTACCTTTCTGTTTTTAATTAAGGTTCAAATGTTGGTTTCACTTCTGGCATCTTTGCTTTAGAAATCAAAGGTAAGGCTGGAAGAGTTTTGCATGTGGGTATGCAGGATCCTGCATGACTGGAGTCTCAGCTGTTTAACAGTTCTTAGATTCTGCCTCCCATGTGGCATTTTTTAATCTTAGTTTGAAGGTAACTTTTTTTCTTTAAAAGCTGTCTCCCTGCCCATCCTTTCTAACCAGTTGTAGAATCATCATCATATGATTATAGTCATGTCACATACTCATGCATATCAATCTCCACCATAAATAAGGCTACAGTTTAACCATAACAAATATACTTCTGAAGCCATTATGATGCCAGAAACAGGACAATTTATTTTTCCTTCCCAACAGTTCTTGCATGTTGTACACCAGCTCTGAAGTGGGTGGAGGAAATGCAGCTGGATAAATCCAGTCTTAAGATTATAAAAGCTGGATCTGCCAAATTTACCCATTTCTTTTGAGCAGACATGTATAGGATAGCACTGTCAATCTCTTGATTTTTCTCGTAGATTCATTGACAAATAATATATATCCATACATGAAGAGGAGACCAAACAAAGGTGTAAATTTTTAATATGGTCAATATGTGCTGTGTCAAAAGTACTTATATATTCTGTTTGTTCTGGCAAGATCATTCACTTAAGACAGATTCTTCAACCTCATGCCTCCTCCCCAGATATTTTGGAGTACAACTTACATATGACTTCTTTGTGTATAATGCATCTTTTTTTTCCTATCAGAATATCCGTGTGCGTTCTGTGACTGGAGTTGGGTTCTATATGCCATCAGGGAAGATTAAAGGTAATTTGGCCTCCCGTTTCCTGATGGTGGATGGTGATAAAGTTCTTACAGGATCCTACAGGTCAGTTTCCCTCTCCCTCTCCCTCTCATTGTAGTCTGTCAGTGGCTCTTTGAACACTTAGGGTAAGGCAGAGATAGCCAGCCTCGTATCTGCCAGATACTGGGCTCAGTTCCTATCATCCCTGACTATTAACCTTGCTGGCAGATGTTGATAAGACCTAGAGTCCATCAGCATCCAAAGGGTACTATGATAGCTTGTCATAGTCTTTCCTGGTATTGCTGTTTAATCTTCCATTGTGTTGGGGATGGGACCTGAAACCCATTATGGCTCATGAAGAAGGCTATCAATGGTTACAAGTCAAGATGGCTATAGATTGTCCTCAGTGTTCAAAGCTGTAATTTAATTAATTAATTTAAAATGATTTTAAAGGCACTTTTTAAGTATAGAACCCTTTTAAAACACTATGTCGCAGGATACCAGTTGATGAATAAACATAAGCAGGAGGGTGGGAAACTGGTTGACTCTGGGGGAAAAAAATTCTGAACTAAGTGGATATTTGGTCTAATCCAGTATGACTCCCCATATGTTTGCAGCACACGTTTTACCAGTGAGCTTTAATCTCTCTGTTGACAAGTTGGTTTTGGAGAACTAGTGTGACAAAAAAAGCACATAGGACCTATGTGAGGGAAATGATCATCATAAGTCAGTGACCAACTACTTCAATATGAACTTTACTTGTATCTTAAGAACTTTTCTGTTTCCTCCCCCAACCTCCAAATTGGGTAGGTAGTAAAAAGCGACATGGCCTTTTCAGTGGAGGTCACTTTCTTTGGAAATGCTGTCCTTAGGTCCATGTGCTTTGTGCCTACTCCAGTTAGTTTTAGGTATGAGATAAAATAGTTTTATTGGGCCAAACTTTAAATTTTATTCTGTGCACATCATTACAAATATTTTAAGGGATTTTAATGCAGGAATGCTTTATCTGCTCCTATTTCTAGTGCTTTGACATTATAACTTTTAACAGGTCTTAAAGTTTTGCTGCTGCCTTTAAAGTATTTTGATATATTTTAATAAGCTTTTGCTCTGTTTGTAGGTTTTACAAACATAGTATACCATCTTGAGGAAAATACACATCTGTTCAATAAATTTAATTAGGCCAGGGGTGGGGTCTCTATGTCTAGCCCATCAGCTTGCCCCCATTTCACCACTGCTCAGAGGAAATTACTGTTGGGGCAGATAGAGCATGGCCAAGTTCTGCTACTGAACTGCCTATGGAAGAAGAGATTACTATCTACCTCCAGAATAGTATGCTACATATCTGTGCTGCTTGGTGGGAGAAGAAGCCCCTTACTGCAAGTTGTCCATTAGGGAGCTAATTGATCTCCTCCTTCATGGGCAGCTGTCCATTTATGAACGTGAAATGTAGCATGAGTTTTGGAGAGGGCTGGAACAGAGGTTAAACAGGATATCCCTTTTAAAAGGGGAAATTTTGATATGCACGCCTGCTAAATGTGTGCTGGGCCCCAAAATTGCAAAGAGCTGCCTCCGTTAAGTTTACCATGTTAAGTATACCATGTATACCACCTTGGAGGTCTCACAGTGTTGTTTGCAATTACATAACAATCCATTTAAAATAATTTTAAAATCCACATACAATACATAAAAACTTTCATCAAAACAAAAACCAATGCAATATAAATTCAGCTAAAAACAAAACCAGAACAGCATTAGCCAGTATTACAGAATGTGTGCAGTGGGTTTCACTTTCTACCTAAAAGCACCAAGAGATAGAGTATAGTGAATTTCCCAGGGCAAAGCGTTGCATAGTCTGAGCGATACCACTGAAAAGGCACAATGCCATGTCCCCACTTTCTGCACTTCACTAGGTAAAAGGCTTATGTGTATATACTTGTAGTTCAGGGTTAGCCATTCAGCTGTTTTAGACTACAATTTTCATCATCCCATGAGTTCCCCACTTCCAGTGTTAAATGGGGACACTTCTTCACATAAATGTACCAAAATAATCTTAGCTTTTATAGCTTAAAAACCCTTATTGACTCAAAAACCTAATGGAGCTCATTATGCTAAAGGGATTTTGACTTATCAATAACAGTGAATTTAATTATAGTTTGTCCAAAGTAGTCCACGTAAAGGCCTTCACAGTAAATTCATAAAAGGACATATATAGACACTGCAGTTTTGTGTCCCCTTCCTTCCTGAATGCTCTTAGCAGTGAAGTTGGCTGTATTGGGCTCATTGCTTTGAATGTCACACACCTAAACTTGCAAGGCTTTTTCTGCTATATGGTTGTACAAATAAGAAATGGAAAATTCACAGAGTACTTGGATAAGCTAGTAACAATCTCAATATTCTTGAATGGCAAGAACCTAGGTGTGAAAAACTAGGTGTTTCACATTGCAATTCACTAACAGCATCTTTTGTTGTATAGTTTCACATGGACATCATCCCACATAGACAGAAACATTATCTTGTACTTGACCGGACAACATGTGGAGATGTTTGATATTGAATTTCGTGAGCTCTATGCCATTTCAGAGGAGGTCAGTCTCTACAAGGAGCTAAATATTCCATGCCCTTTCCGTCAAGGCATCGGGAAACTGGGATTTTCCTCCTCCACTGTGGCTCGGAAGGTTATCAATCCAAAATATGGACTGGTGGTGGGAGTTCCTCCAGGAGAAATGATGCGCTGGGCCTCCCACCAGAGGCAGGAAACACAACGGAATCTAGAAGGAAGGGAAGAAAGTGAGTCCAATAAGAGACTACATAGTTTTCTGAATGACCTTGTAACAGTAGAACAGGTGCTGCCAGATATTGAGCCTCCCCTTGAGGACCTGAACAGAGCAAACAGAAGTCCTCAGAAGTTACTTTCCTGGTTCCACATGGACCTGAAATATAAATCCAAATCTAGAGAGTCTATCCGTGACTTCAGGAAGGATGATGTTGCCAATGGAGAAGTTGGTTCCAAACAGGGCAAGAAGTTTGGGAGTGGATTTTTCAGAAGGGCCAAGCGACCACCACCTTTGAATGCTGATGCCAACTCTGTTACCAGTGAAACTGCTGAAGAGTTTGTGATTGTAAAGGTACCAAAGGAGAGCCAGGAAAGCTTTTGCCCTACTAGTGTTCGCAGTAATGGTGGCAACTCAGGTAAGTCTCCCTGGAGAAGATTGTCTTTTTTGCATCTACCAATGAATGTGGGTTACTCTACACAGCATTGTCCTCTTCATTCTCTTGCTCTCATGTTTCCAAATGTTCCCTACTGAGTAATAATGAGAGTCCCATAATAACTATTTTTTGTCTGTTTTAAAAGGGCAAAGTGTGTGGAATGAAGCTATATCTAATAGTATAAACAGGCAATCTGACACTTCCAATGTGATATTTTTAGATATTTTTGTTTTTAGGTGAGCTTGACATGGAAGGCTAATAGGAAAAGATCACATTCTTCTTACTTTCAAAAACTAGGTTCAATACTAAATCCTTTTGATTTCAAGGAAGAAGCAAGCTGTCATCCTGTGTCCTGTGAATGCAATTCAGATGCATTAAAAGTTTGAGATGCTTTCTCCCAAGTAGCTGGGGAAAGAATTGCTGTGATGGCTGTGTTCAAGATGCATACTTAATAGGCAGCAACATAATCCTAAATAAACTCCTCCTGTCTTTCATATGGTTCCTTGATAATCTTCTTGCTCACACCAAACCAAAAGCATAGCTTCTTCACCTATGCTTAATGACAAAAGGTTAGAAACAAGATATGTAAGAGCAGACTCAACATACACACAGTATGTGTGTATGTACTTATACACACCTGTTATCTGATGTTCTGTTTCTTGTTTTTTCCATAAACCAAGTCAAATAAGATAATATCCTTCCTATCTCTCAAGCCCTTCCTGCATGCCAGAGGACTTGGGAAAGGAGAGGAGGTTGGAAACAACCACTAATGGGGTGGCAAAAAAGCTAAAACAATATTTATAGAACCCTTGAAGAGGCCTTTTGGAACTCCCTGACAAAAATTCTCTTTTCTTGTTTGGCTGATAATTACTGACTGTAATGTGTCTTACTGTTGTGAAGTCCCCTTAATGGATGGTTTCTTCTTTAGCTTTTAATAACCTTTGTAAAGTCCTATAGGTACCAGTTACTCCCTCCAAGTCAAAGATGCACTGTGACCAGTGCTGGGTGCAACAGAGTGAATTGCTACACTAACACAAACCATGGGACAAAAATAAGCTAGAGTAGAAAAGAAGTTCCTTTTTTATCCTGCCAAAGTTAGATATCACTGTGGAAGCTGAGAATTTTAGACTAGAATTTAAGCACAGGGGAATAGTGAATAAAACTAGGGAAAGTTGTGCTTGGGACACAAAAGTTTTAAAACAGAATACATCTTGTTTAAGAGACCTTTCAAAAGGTGTTCAGATAGTATATTAATTCAAAAATAATATATGGTCTCCCGTGTAAGAATATCCAAGCTAATAAATGGAATGTTTAATGTGGAGAATTGGGTTGTGGTTTTGCCTGGATCTGAAAAAAAGCTACAGTTAAATGTGGAGGGGAGGAAAAGAGATTTCTGAATAGAGCAGCCTTCCCCAGTCTGGTGCTGCCTGGACACATTGGCCTATACCCCCATTAACCCCAACTAGGATGGACATAGGATGGCTGGACATGGTAAGACTTGTAGTCTAACTCATATGAAAGCCTGATCTAAACTCATCTGTCTACAGACGATGCAGCCACTTTTGTCATACTGTGTACAGTTCTGATAATTGCATCTTCTGATAATTGCATGGAGCTAGAAAAAGTGCAAAAAAAGGAAATCCACATAATTAGGAAGTTGGTTACATTCCTACAAGTAAAGGTTAAAATGTTTAAAGCTACAACTAAGTGGGAAGTGAGACACAGCAGTCTTCTTCAATTTGGTGCCCTCTGGCTGTGGTGGACCATAGCATCCATCATCCCACTGTTGATGGGAATTGTGGGCCTGCACATTTGGAAGGTGCCATGTTGTGAAAGGCTGATCTGGCATTTGCTATTGTATGGGAGTGGAGCTTCCCAAGTGTTGATTAAGGAACAGGAAAGCTAGAAAATTCTGTGTGGATATTTGAGACTTTTACAGTTTTAACATGGAAAAGGTGGTTAGATGCACCAAAAAAAATCCTTTCTAGAGTTTGGAATGCATAGAGGAATGGTTTGCATTTAACTGGATGCATGTTGAGGTCCACCTTGGGTTGATGAGTTTTATTTCTTTGGAATTGAAATCTTTATAGCAGAAGACATACATAGGTTCAAACTCTTCAATTGCTTGATTTTTTAGCCAAGAGAAAATGATTTCCCTTTTGTAATATTTTGTTTAGTTGACCAGAGTGCACACAGCAACCCCTAGTGATAAAACTAAAAATAACAGAAGCTATGCCTTTCTGTCTGACTAATTTTCCTAAAATAAGAATTTGGAAAACCTGCAATTGACTTGTATTTACTGTTAAGCATTTTTGCTATAAAATATCTTTGCATGGCCCTTCACAGGAATCTAGTCCAAAGGAGTGCTATCAATGCTTTATGTATGCAGAAAATTATCATTTTAGTGATTGTGCTCAGTTTTATTTTCCAGAAATTAAAGCTTAAAAGTGGCAGCTTGACCTGGGTGCTTAATAAGCATGCTGCCCACAAAGCTTCCTTCCTCAACTGGTGCCTTTCAGCTGTGTTGGCCTATAGTTCTCATCAGCCCCAGCTAGCATCGTGAGAGTTTTAGTCCAAATCATCTGGAGGGTACCAGGTTGAGGCAGACTGTTATACACATTAAAAATAGTTTTATTCAGAGTAATCAAAGGCAGATGGTTAAACTAAAGAGACTGATCTGTGGAAGTGTTTCTAGAGGTTGGTCCTGTGATTGTGTGGGTGGGGATCATGATCTATAAAAATAAAAAGTGAGAATCCTGCAGGGCTTGGCTAAATACAAGACCTTCCTTTTTAAAAAAAAAGTATGCTTGAAGTCTTTTATTAGAAGCTTTTGATGTATTTTTATTTTCTGCTACAGGTAAAGTGAGTTCGAGCACTCTTTCAGGAGAAAAAGCCAAACAATCAACCTGTGTAGTTTCATGACTAAAGAAGAAAACTGAAAAACTGTGTATTTCAAGAGCCATCTGCTGAAATATACAACTATAGGTTCCCTTCAAAATTGGTCTGATTTCATCATAATGGTTTGTATAACCACTGCAGTGTTCAAGGTAGAGCTCGTGCTTCAATTTAAAGCACATGTGCTGCTTAAAATAGGAACTGGAGGATTCCTGTGTGAAGATGTAGCAACATTAATAACTACAATAACTGGATCTTGGGTTTTAAATATACTCTGACATATATGCAGGGGAACATTCCACTTTGTGGTGGCGTTTCAATTTGTATGGCTACAGACTGAAAATAACATTGCATTGCTGGTTATTGTACTGCACTTTTATTGGTTTATATACTTAAAGGTAAAAGGGAGATTCCCAAGGACTGCCCAACCTGAAGATTTTGTTTCCCTTAGTTTATACCACCTTTATAACATCTCAGTCCACCTTTGTAAAATTTAATTAGGTTTTCTGCGCTATTGCTCAACCTTTTCAGTAACCTTAATTTATGAGTAAACAATCTGTTAAACAGGTGCTGGTAGTACCACAAAAAATAAGGGGTTGTGGTATACCTAGCTAAGAGCAGGTGGGACCATGGTCTTGGCTATAATGTAGATTCAGACTGATGTTTCTGCCTGCCTCTCTGAAGCTGCATAGCTGATCTGCTAAACTCATTTTAACATTTTTAAGTGGTTTTCATTCCCCTAGTGGGATTCACCAGCTTGTAAAATGTATTCCATTGTCTGGGTGGTTCCCACTCTTCTGGTGCTCCATGATTTCCATTTGAGAGAGAAGAATGGCATTTTTTTCATACATGATTGTCATTACTCTTGAAGGATGTATTGAGGGGTCTGTTCAATGGGGAAAGGGGGCGGGGGTAATGGAATTCATATTACATTCCTTCTCTTCATTTCTTATAGAGTGTGACTTTTAAGCAAACATTCCACAATGGCTATTTGAATGAAGACAAGGATGATAATATCGGGGAATGCTTACTAAGGTTTACAGGCAACATTCTGCATGACTGCTTTATATAAAACAACTCATAAAAACACAATCACAGAATTGTAAATGGTAAAACAATGAATGATTGGCTGTTGCAAAGAACATTGTATTTAATATTTTGTCACCTTTCCAGATCCTTTTCCAGATGTATTTCTGTAAGATTTGTAAGTGTCTTAAGCACTTAAGTGCATAATGCAGTTCCTTACTATAGAATGAAAAAAGAGTCAAGAGTATTAGTATAAAAATCAAGGAGAACATTAGTAGACTTTATTTAAGTCCAGTGGATTTTTTCAGATAGGGATCTTGGTTTTCCAGACAGCTATCCTGCAGTGATCCAATGTACTACATCCTTGATGCGTGTAAGTCTCCAAACAGGCAGGCTTACTTGCACCCAGTACATGGCAGATCAGCAGAAATCTGTGCTGCCCTGTACCTCATGCCCTACATTGCATCTAGACAGCCATTTTCTGCCACCTAAACTAAGTGTTGTGGAAGTAAAGAGGCTGGAATACTATTGAATTTGGTCTAAGCCCCATCGGCTTCCCCTCCCTACCTCCCCCTGGTATATTCCTTTAGTTCCTTCTGAGGCCAGGCTCTGACCTCAAGAGGCAGCCAGCCCAGTTCCTTCTACAGGAGCTACAGGAGGGGGCAGGCAGAGGTTCTACGGGACTCTGGAGGTGGGACTTCAAATAATCTTATGACTCCCCAGGCAATATCAGGAGGCCACAGAATTACATCATTACTACCTTAAACTTTAGCTTTCTGCATAAAGTATGACCAGAAGTGGTCTGCTTTTTTGTATCTTTTCTAAAACAAAATAACCATTGGCAGAGAGAGAGAAGTGAAGTTTGCCATGTTCAGTTCCCATTTTGAGTGCTCATTAAGATACCCAAGAAAAAATAGCCTATATACTTTGTTTTGTATTTGCATGATGTTCTAGTTTTTATAGCAAGGAAGTTTCTTGGAGTTGATTACAGTTTTGGATAGATGGAATTGGGGAGATCATACCTTAGCTTATCATCAATTTACTGGGTACATGCTGTGATCTACCTAGAGGCAGTTCATTTCAGCAACTTTCATTCTGCTGTCAAAATGGCCAGTTATACTGGTGAGCAGTGTATAAAAACTGGAGTGGAATGATTTGACTGTTCTATTTATAGATCTGTGGCAGGGGGAGATAATATTCGGTCACAGGTGGTATGTGTATGCTGTGTACTTAAGCTGCCAAAAGATTGTAGTTTGGACACTAAGTCCATGCAAGAGCCACAACTTTTCCCATCAATCTGCTGAATATTGACAGTGTGCCTACTTGGAAATTGCCTTAACTCCTTTAAAACAATGCTCTGTTTCGACATCGTAATAGCTCTACTTACACAGGCCTACTGTGTGTATTGAAGCCAAAAGCTTTAGGCTGAGTGGCAAAAATGAATGTATGCTTCCCTATCTTTCCCTGACTCTTAAAATCCTTCTCTGAATCATTCATTACTATTTCATGATTTTTAGTGGAAGTTGACATTGCTTTCTCTGTGCCTGGACTACGGCATCTAATCTTGGGTCTTTTTATACTGCTTTTGCTTTTTAACGCTCCTTTCTGTACTTTCTGCATTTCATATAATTTCCACTGTACTTGCTTTCTTATACTGTAGTGGTCTTTAATATCAATGCTCTACTTTGATAGTGTAACTTAAAAAATGTTTGCACGTGTTGATAGCTTGGATTTTATGTGGACTATTTCTGGTCAAATGTTCAGTATGTTGAAATGTATGGCCATATTGAAGTTGATACTGGCAGCTTGTGACATCAGTGATGAACAAGGGTGGTGATGGGAAGAAGGATAATAGTTATTTTGGATTATTATTATTATTACACATATTATTCTGTGTTTGTGTCTTTGGAGAAATTCATTGCAGCAACCTGTGATAGTGATCTGTGTGGCATCACTCTTGCTGGGAAGAACTAAGGTTTGGTGGCAAATAGCTAAGGCTTTCAGTTTGTCTCTGAGAGAGTATCTGATCTGCACAAAACTGTCACATGTTTGTTTCAGTATGGTATGGCCCAAGAAAGCCTTTTACTTGCATCACAGATCAGACTGCATTAATTACACATCAACAGAGTTCAAGTAGGGAAAGCCATATGAGGCAAGACTGAGGGAAATGGGTCTTTTCAGCCTGGAGGGGACTCAGAAGATCCTTTGGCAACATATATGTACATGAGGGGATGTCACGTGGAGGTGGGTAAAGACCTGTTTTCCCCTGCAGAGGAGGGCAGGATGCATTCCAGTGGAGCAAAGCTCAGGAAACCAAGATTCAATGCTAGGAAGTACTTCCTGACAGTTAGGACCCCTAGGGCATGGAATGGGCCTACACAGGAGGTGGGAGGTGGTTGAAACCCCATTGATGAGTGTGTTCAAGGATAGGCTGGATATGCACATGATAGGCATGTCATGAGCGGAGCCAGCTGGAGCCAGGGGTCAGACTAGATAACCTGGGAGGACCCTTCTGACTGGCTCTGTTTCTATGTTTCTAAACAGCACCATGCAACTAGTTGTGGGTTACTGCAGGGTTTGAACAGGGATTGTGTATTTTAATTGGTTGTTGCACATGCTGCACAGTCTCAGCATGGGTTAAATAACCCATAATAACTTATCAGTTCCGTCCTCTGTTGGCTGTTTATGCACTGATCTGCAGTTTAGCCAGATGACCATCTGAAATTACTCTAGGGTTGAAGTTTTCACACATAGGAACTGCAGATTTCAGATTTACATAGAACTGTCCCAAAGGAAATCATCATGTCCCATCTTAATGAAGGTCAAGTTATCAAGGTCATTCAACCTTTTGTTTGGGTTATTGCAATGTATTGTATATACAGCTGCCTTTGAGAGCGGTCGAGAAATTCCAGCTGGCCAAAACAGGGCAGTGAGATTGCTAACTGGTTAATACAGTCATACTATGTCAGGGCTTTGTGGTCTGCATTGGCTTCAGTGCATTTCTGGGTCCAGAAAATCAAAGTGATACAATTAACCTTCAGTGCCTTAAATAGCTTGATGCCCTGCCCTGGGCCATAAGATTATCTTTAAAAGCCCTCTTGATGCCCCCACCAACTTTGAGGTGGCTACTAAGGAGAGGGTGTTTTCGGTGATGGCATCCTGGTTGTGGAATGCCAGTCTTCTCTGGTGCCTATGCTGTGCTATCTTCAATGCAAGGTGAAGGCTTCTTTATTTTCTGAAGCTTTTAAGTAATTATGTTTTAAAATACTGTATGTATGTGCTTTTATAAAAATCTTGCACTGCTGCCAGTTTTTACTTTGGTTCTATTTTAACTATTTAGATTTCCACAGTATGTTTTTACAGTATTTGTTTTTAAGTTTTATTTTATGAACTGCTCACAGTGCTTGAGCTATTAGGCAGTACAGAAATGTAATAAATTAATTATTTCAGCAAGCTGTTGCTTTTTTTGCCGTTCTGATCTTTGGTGGAATAGATTGAAAAGGGTGCAGTAGAGCATTACTATTGGTTTTCTCTGGGTGAGAAAGGGACCCATATAGTCTTCCCTGTTTTCCATCATGTCTCCTTTTGGTCTAGTAGTATCTGAACTGATTATGCCTTGAGGGTATATAATGGGGTAGCCAAACCAAGACTTGTGAACCTCATGTAGCTCTTTGAGTTTATTTTACAGTTCACAGAGGGATCAAAAAAGCCAATAGTATAGTAGGGTCCCTATTTACCTCTGGCATGGAGCAAGGAAGGGATATCAGACAAGGCACAGAATTGAGCTGATGTGCAAAATCGGGCTGTTTCTGTGGGCCCTGCTGGAGCTGAGGGGACTGCACAACAGCTGCACTCCAGGGGAGGATTAGATCCTCACCAAAGCTTCCAGCATGGGAAGCTAATGATGAGATTTCCAGTTGCTTCTGCTGCTGAGCGATGTCTTACACCCAGGCTCCCAAATCGGAAGTGCATAGCTGTTCAGTTTCCTCCAGTATTCAGAGCTAAAAAGGAAACAGAAAGGCCCCACTCCAAAAGTTTTGTCATTTTGGCTTGAAAGCATAGCAGCACCCTGACAGAAGGGTCCTCACCAATAAGTCCTATTATGTTCATCAGAGCTTACTCCCAGGTAAGTGTGCATAAGGATACATTAGCTGAAATACTTGTTAATCTATTAATCAAGTGATTTTGTCAGAACAGTCATTTAAGTGATAAATTAAACTTTCCTTCATTCCCAAACTTTGTAAAAACCAGGTGTTCGACACCTCTTCATCCCCCTTGTGATAAAATGCTACCACAGATCACCCTGGGATGTGATTTTCTGCGCACTTAACTGCTTATTATTTAATAATAAATGAATATTTGTTCATGTCTTGCAACTCTCTAACATTTGACATTTACCATAGGTTGCTCTTCCATTGAGGAAATCTGGCCACCCCAGTATATAAACTAGTTGTTGGTGATGACAGCAAACCTGCAGCAAGTGCAGTCCATTTGCACCGTTTTTGTTAAGCACACCTGTTCATGCACTTTAATGTCATGACAAATGAATTTTATACAACAAATAAATTCTTTATTGTATTCAAGTAGCTTGTGCATATTAATATGGTGTCATCTCCCAGAATATCTTAAAATTTCCTTTTTAATTTATAAATGAAGTTTGTCTCTTTTTGGTCCTTTTGTGACTGTGGTTTTTCCTTCTGTACCTCTAGAGGTGCCTCGTGTATATGACTGTTTGGCATATACTGTAACAGATGTATGGGCCGTTAAATAGTCCATGTGAGTTTCCACAGTTTTTAAATAGTTCTACATTATGTTTAAGAGTGAAATGAGATATGATGGGACAGCTACATTTGTTTTTTCATAAGTCTGATCACAGGTAAAGTTGTTTTTTAAATAAATGATATATCCAGGTGAGGTGGCCTGAAATATCTCCATCTTACCTCAGCACTTGAGGAGGCTCTTTTCTCCCCTGCCTGGCTCACTTCTGGTTTCAGAGTTGGAAGAAACATGCCTGCAGTGGCAGAGTTTGGTGGGAACAGAGTCTGATTCACCCCATCTGTCTTTTTTTGATTTCAAAAATAGATCTCCTACCTGTACATTTATATGTAAACAGAAAACATGAACAAACAAATTTGTTGTCCTTATTGCCTCTCATTTCCCTTTTCCTCCTAGTTTAGAAGAGTTGTAAAACCATGTAACACCAGGATTGTATATTAAACTAGTTATCACACCATCTTTGCTGGCTTCCAGTTCATTTCTGGGCCCGGTCAAGGTACTTGTATTATCCTGCTCAGTTTATCAAGGCCTGGAGTGCAATATAGTAAGGATGCTTACCTGTAACTGTCGTTCTTTGAGTGGTCATTTGTGCATCAAACATATGTGTGCTGCACCTGCACAGTGCCTATGTTTAGGAAAATTCTTCTAGCTAAGCATAGAACTTTTGGTGGAAGCCCCACCCCTCTGCTCTTAGTATAAATAGGCAGAACTCCCGCCCTTCATCAGTCCAGCTGATGTTCTGCTGGTCAGCTTGCCTGAGTGGTAGGCGAGCTAGTGTAAGAGCTAGTGCTGAACCACCAACACCAATGCAGGGCTGGCAGGTGGGTTGTGTGAATGCACAGATGACCACTCAAATAAAGACAGTTACAGGTAAGCTTTCTTCTTTGTGGTCTCTGGGCATCACACATATGGATGACTAGCAAGCTTACTGATATAGGAGGTAGGAGGTGTCATTGTAGAATGGCAGAGAGGATGGCTTGGCTGTAGGAGCAGTCTTGTCTAGCTTTGACAACCAGTTAGTAGTGGCATACAAACGTTGATGGTGTGGTATGTGTAGCATTGTAGATGTCTATACTGCTCTGGTGGAGTGGGCTCTTGGATAGTCCAATAAGTCAAGCTTCGCCAACTGGTACATGAATTTGAAAGTTTCCACTATCCAGTGTGACAAATGTCGCAAGGTGACCAGTTCACCTTAGGAGCTGTCTGCATATCTCACAAAAAGTCTCTTGTTCTTCTAGAAAAATTCTGTATGGGACCTATAGAAAGTGAGCACTCTGCATCTGTCGTGCCATCATTCCGGCTTTTTGTAATGTGTCGAGGCATGCATCAGTCCTTGAGAGGAACAGATCTTGCCTGTTGAAAGCCATACTTTTGGTCCTTGACTGGGTTTCTTGTGGGAGGTTTACCAGCTGTAGCCATGTGTGTCTGCACACAGTGATTGCATCAACGAGTCCTCAGGAGTTGTCGTTGACATGATGCTGTGCCATCGCTGTTGTTTGATAACTGTATCACTTCTCCGATGAAGACTTTGGCTGATCACTGTTGGTCAGGGAGAAAAGCAGCCAAAGACTCAATTTTCTGCAAAGGGAGACTTAATATCTCCCCATCATGGCCTTGTGGCCAAGTCCCATAGCAGAATAAATAGGGCAGGCCATGTCAAGGTGGCATCCCTCATGAGCCATCTGTAAAGAATGTTCACATTGCTGGCAACCTTGCCTGGCCTCAACAATCACTGAATCTGGCTGTGGATGGTGTAATAGAAAGGGAATGTCCCGTTCCTGCACTCTAGACATCCTCTCTAGGTGTCGTGAAGTGGGATGGGGTTGATTTGGCAGCTCCCATGGCTCTTGCAGTGCAGGGATGAGAGAAAGGGCAACCGGAGCAGAGTCCTCCATACACTGATCATATCATGCACCATGATGCTTCAGGTTCAGTGATTTGCTGGGCCTAAATTCCCAGTAATGTGGCCATATGAAGGACCTGTTTAGAAAATCAGCCCAAACTCTCTCCTGGCAATACTTTCCATGCTTCCTATATCTCCAGCTGTGAATCAGACTCTGAGGCATAGTCCATATGAGAGGAGGAGGAGCTGTGTGTTGGCGATGGTGAATCATATTCCTTGGTTTGCACTGTGTTGTAGGGGGAAGTGCTGGGGCGGCCTGTGAGGCTGGTTCTTATCTTGGCATTGATGGTATCTTGGATAGGTAGGTCGGGTCCAGTAGGTGGCCCTGGGTATCCATATGGTGGGATTGCTGGGTCCCACAGATACTGGGTCAGTAATGTCCAGTATATGGTGGTGGCCAGTATATGTCTCTTCATTATGGGTAGTAGTACAGTTTGATGGTATGGACAGAATGATGGGTTGATTCTGGAGACAAGTTTGGAGACACTGAACTGTACAGTCAAGTTGGAGAGATCGGTAGCTGAACCTCTCTTCTTGGGATTGGTGCAGATCATTCCGGAGACAGAGGTTGAATTAGGAACCTGGAGAATCTCGGGTTTCTCCCTCTGAGAAGAATGTAGGTAGAGCGGTCTCTGTTTGGACCTGGTGCTGATCCTGTTGGGATGGAGGCTCTGCTTGAATCGGAGTAATCAGTATGGACCAAATTGGTGATGGTCAAGTTGGAGGTGAGGCTGGCATTGAAGCTGCTGTTGGAGTCACTGGATGTATGGGTGAGGTTCCTGAGACTAAGGTGCTTGGTGAATGGTGTCTCCCTTTCTTCTCAGGCCTTTCCTTGCCCAGCTTTTTGGCCCATTTGGGATTTTTTGCCTCAGTGTGCTTCCTTTTCTCCTTAATGTTTTTTAGGAGAGCCGGAGGAAATTTGCTGAACGGTGGCTGAGGTGGATTTGCTTGTGGAGGGGGTACATTTTGGCTCAGTTCTTGTGGCAGCAGATGATTTGCCTGCTCCTTCACCTGCAACGTTATGCATCGCCACCAAAGTTTTAAAATCTTGTTTACTTTCAACTTGCAGACAGGAGGAACTACATTAAGAGAGTATCATTAAAGTTAATTTTTAATTTTATTTTTCTGGACTGAAGTTCAACTACACACAAAAACTACTCCTCATACAGTTTTCTAAAAGCTCTGAGACTCAAAATATGTGCTGAAGATAAGACCTGGATGAAATGGAACCAGAACTCCCATTAAAATCAGTACGATGGCTTTTCCTGAAACTTTCGTTAGCAAAATCTCAAAATGTAGAATGATCTTGATCACTATGAAACAATGTACCATATATACCAACCTATAAGGCAACTCACATATAAGACAAAGTTAATATTTTGGGCTGTTTTTCTGGTGTTTGTCTCATGTTAAGCATATAAGATGACCCCCATTTTTGCTTCATTATTTTTGGTTTCAAGGGCCATTTTATACACTGATATATATGGTAATAACATGTGAAACAAGGAACCAGGATGCATGTTTCAGAAAAATACTTGTATATATTGGCATATAAGGCAATTCACATATGAGGTCAGTATTTTGGGCTGTTTATATATGTCAGGAGTATAAGAGCACCCCGCCCCCCATTTTTGCTTTGCTATTTTCAGTTTCAAGGGTTATCTTATATGCTGGTATATACAGTATACTGTCTATACTTTTGACAGGGAAATAACTCAAACTACAAAAACTGCTGGCTTTGCTCTTAAAATATTTGACACTCCTACAATATTTCAGAAAAACAAGTGCTCGGTTTTCTCTAACCTTTCTCTGGGAATTCATCTTCCAGCAGTACTTGTGTGGAACACTTGTAACTGAAATGTGGAAAAGAGAACAGTCTAAACAAAATATGATCACTCTTCCCTGCTGTGTTTGTATAATAGATTGGTTGCTCTGATTTAGCAAGACCATTAGTAGCATTGTGCTACTGCTCGAAAGAATGGAAAAAGGCTGCATTTTAGTGTGCTGAAAGGTAACTGCAGTAATCATAGAAACTAGACAGATATTTTTTTTAAAGGGTCATCCTGGCCATTGCTCTTTTCTAGTGCTTTGTAAAGTATTCAACCATTTGTATTTCACAGGAGTTTATTCCATGCCTGTCTCCTGGTCAGAAAGTTACAAATTACTGAAATGTTGAGTATGAAGGAGCTCTTGATAGCTGCAGCAGGGAAACAAAATTACCTTTACTTCCTTTACTTTACCTTTACTTTACATTTACCAAAGTGTCTGCTGTTATCCTTTCAAGATAGGACAGAGTAATAAATGCAGAACAGAGGAAAGGATCTAAGTAAGGGAGTAGTTCAAGAAACCCACCTCTTCTGAGAAGAAGCACAATGCATTTTCTGGACTTCTTTTAACTTCAAATGCTGCTGTTTGGCCAAAGTATCTCCTGATTCAAGATTCTAAACTGGCCATGGGAGTGCTTCAATAATGATGTAAGCAACAAGGTACAAGCAGCAACTTGTATGAAATGCGCATGTGTTTTCTTGTTGCTGGGGTCCTGGGATGGAAACAAGAACTTCTGACAGGGAAGCATCTTCATAAACACCTCTATCACCTTCCTATTACTCAGGACTGAGCAGTTGTGAAGGAAAATTATTCAATAAATGCTGCTTATAGTGGGCTAAAGTGCAGGAAAGAGATTAATAGGGGATGATGGGTAAATCCCCCTCTCCATTTATCACAGGAATGACCATTCATTCATTCATTCATTTAGAGCATTTGTATGCTGTCCCATCACATAGCCTCGGAACGGCTTACATAAATAAAACAATACAGACAAAATCCAGATCCACCCTGGCTGCATATTAAAACCTATAAACTGATATTAAAAATTATTAAAATATCGTTGAAATAAAAAGGTCTTAGCCTGGCGCTGAAAAACAAATAACGACGGCGCCAGGCGGACCTCTCTGGGGAACGCATTCCGTAGGCAGGGCATCACTGCAGAGAAAGCCCTCTTCCGGGTACTTTGCCTCCTAATATCTTTCACGGAGGGTTCCCGGATGAGGGCCTCTGTTGCCGATCTCAGGGGGCGGGAGGGCAAATATGGAAGAAGGTGTTCCTTTAGGTATCCAGGTCCCAAGCCGTTAAGGGCTTTATAAGTAATAACTAGCACCTTGAATTGAGCCCAGACTTTGATGGGAAGCCAGGGAAGCTGGTAGAGGACTGGGCTTATATGAGAGTAATGCTCAGTCCCCGTCAGCAACGTGGCTGCTCTATTTTGCACCATCTGAAGTATCCAGACTGTCTTCAAGGGCAGTCCCATGTAGAGCACGTTACAGAAATCCAACCAGAAAATAACCAATGCATGGGTCACTGTCGCTAGGCAATCGTCCTCCAGGTAGGGATGCAGCTGATGGATTAACGAAGCTGAAGGAAAGGTTATGAAGCTGTTTCCCTACCAAACCAACCACTGGGTCTATTGTGTTTCATGAATGTGCCTATTCTCCTACTCTTTCTGTCTTTTAACATAACTGGCCCTGCCCTTCAGATACTGCAGCTGTTACCCACTCAGTGAGAGCTGCTTATCCGTTTATCCCATAATTTAGCATTTAAAGACAAAACACTTTATGAGTGATGCCAGTTGTGTGGGTCCTCCTTGATTCAAGTGAAAGAAGAAAGTGCAAAAACAGGACTGCAGATCAACATTAAGAAAATAGAAGAATGTCCAGTGGAAAGAAACAGAAGAGAAAGGCAAAAACAAAATATTCCTTCTAGAAGGTCCAAGAAATCAAAGAGAAATTCAAGTCTAGATTAAGGATGCTGAAAGGAATCTGTGATTTGATGAGGATAAAATAAAGAGAAAGTGGAACATTATACAGAAGAAATGAAAGGACAACAGAATCCTTCAAAGAGAAGGCCTAGCAGGAAGTGCCTGCCATATTAGAAAGTGAAGTAAAAGGTACTCTGAAAGGATTTGAAAGGAATAAAACGCCTGGAATAGGTAGGATATCAACAGAACTATTCCAAGGTGTAGAGACTGAATTGGTCTAAATGTTAAAAAGAGTATGGAAAAAACAAAATAAGGGCCCACAGACTGGAAACATTCAGTATATATGCTGCTCCCCAAGAAAGGAGATGCCAAGGAGCGCGGCAACCACAGGACCATTGCACTAATTTCCCATGCTAGCAAAGTGGTGTCCATGGTGTCAGAACAAAGAATGCTACCCTACATAGAGAAATGCAACATTCAAGCTGGATATCAAACTGGAAGAGGCACTAGAGATAATATGGCAAATATACATTGGCTACTGGATGCACCAAAGAATTTTGGAAGATCAATCTATACTTTAGAGACTACAGCAGAACCTTTGATGGTGCAGATCACAAGAAGCTATGGATGATCTTGAAAGAAATGGGTATGCCTCACTGCTTGATTGTCCTGCGGTGTAACTTGTATCATGGACAAGAAGTTACTGTTAGGGTAGAGTTTGGCAAACAGAATGTTTTCTTGTAGGCAAAGCCATCAGGAAAAGAAGCATTTTACTGTCTTATGTTCAATCTGTATGCAGAATACATTTATTTATTTAAAACATTTTTATGCCATGCCGTGCCCATCGCAACGAAGCCTCGGGGCGGCTCACAACAGAAACAAAATACATAAATACATAAATAACAATATAACAATAAAAAATTATTTAAAAACCCCCAGTTCATCTTGGCTAAAAATTTAAAATTCTATAAATACAAATAATTTAACAATTAAAGTAAGTTTTAAATAAAAAGGTCTTAGCCTGGCACCAAAAAACAAATAACGATGGCGCCAGGCGGACCTCTCTGGGGAGCGCATTCCATAGATGGGGCGCCATCGCAGAGAAAGCCCTCCTCCGGGTACTCACCCTCCTAATATCATTCACATAATGATCATACATTATAACTAAAGCTGGATTAACATCAGAAGGAGCAGGAGTGAAAATTGGTGGATGATACATCAATAATTAAGATATACAGATAATACCAAATTACTGCCAGAAAACAGCAATGAACTGAAACAACTCCTGATGAACACAAAAGAAGAAAGTGCAAAAACAGGACTGAAGCAAATGACAACAGAAGGATTACACATCTTTAACGTCACACTGAAGAAACTGAAATTGTGAAAGATTTTATATACCTTTACTCAGTTATCAACTCAGACAGAGGCTATGGCCAAGAAATTAGAAGAAGAAGGAGATGAGGAAGGACAGCAATGAAGGAACTCAATGTAAGGATGTTTCAGTAGAGAACAAAGTCAAAATCATCCACACTATTGTATACCTGATCCACACTACGTATGGGTGTCAAAGCTGGACAATGAAGAAAGCTGACAAGAAGAAAATTGATGCATTTGAAACATGCTGCTGGAGGACTGCTTAGCAAATATCATGGATCAACCAAAAGATGAGTGAGTGGAACAGGCTTGAGCCCCCAAAAAACAAGCCTGAGTATCTAGCTTTTTAAAATGCTTGCTTTGGTTGACTTTAAAGTATAGTGGCTTACAGTAACACAACAGAACTTTAGTTAGTGTTCTCCTGACCGTGACAGTCTGCTTTCATGAAACTAAGGCAATTCCTTTCACCTCTTAAGATGGCACAAGGACCATGCACACTGCACATCTGCAGCCTTGAACTGTCCTTATCAAGTATTACTTCTGCAGACAAGAGGCGGTAATGAACTATGCTTTGATGTCAGAAAAGATTGAACTCCTGCCATCCAGCAGTATTCCTTACTAGCTCACTTCATTATTTCTTAGCACTTGTGTAAACAATATTACTCCTGTAACTAGATCTTTTAATTGCATAAAATGCTGTATGCATGTGCTGAGTACCATAAGTTTTTAATCTATAAAAGCTAGCCACCTCTTTTGTGCTTTGGTTCAGACTGTTTTTGAGAGGAATTCTGCTGTTTCTATCTGAACCCAGCTGATTGGAATCCCGCCTTGCAGAAGTCCCCGCTGTGCAGTGTAAGTGGTTTGCTGCTAAATCTTATGCAAGTCTAACTAGCTTGTTCAGTATTATTGCAATAATAAATAACCTACTTAGTAAACCCGGACTTGGTGTATCACTTTCTGGCAATCCCCAAAAACCTCTGCTCCCCTGCCAGGGCTACATTGAGTCCTAGATCAAATCAAGCCAGAACTTTCCCTGGAAGCAAAAATGATGGGACTGAGGCTGTCATACTTTGTGTGCATTATGAGAAGGCAAGACTCACTGAAGAAGCCAATAATGCCAGGAAAAGAAGAGATGGATTGATTCCATTAAGGAAACCACAGCCTTGAGTTTACAAGAGCTGAACAGGGCTGCCAAGAACAGTATGTTTTGGAGGGCTTTCATTCATAGGGTTACCATAAGTCAGAGAAAATAAAAAAAGTGGTAACCTGTCAGACTAGGGCTGGGAAGTCCCCATTCAAACACAGTTCATTGAGTGGCCTTGGACCAATCCTTATCTTTCAGAATTACTTCACAAAGTTTCTGGCAGATGCAGAAAATATGCAAAACAACCATTTACCATACAGAAACATAGAAACAAAGTGAGTCAGAAGGGGCCTTCCAGGCCATCCAGTCTGACACCTGGCTTCAGCCAGCTCCACTCATGCAGTCCCCAACTGGTTGTCCAGTCTTTCCTTGAACACCCTCACTGATGGGGCCTCAACCACCTCCCTTGAGAAGCCCATTCCATATCCTAGAGGTCCTAAATGACAGGAAGTACTTTCTGAATTCAACCTGAAGTCTGGTTCCTTGAGACCCATTGGAAGAACAGGTCATAGCCCT